AACTTACCTTCAGGACTTACATCTACTGCAGCACATGGTGGGTCACTTTTATGTTTCTTTCTGCTATCGTTTTGATTTATCCGCTCTAATCACAATTAATATATTTATATCTTGGTCAACAACTATGCTCTCTACATTATTGACCAGATGATCATGATTCGAACATTCAAAGTGCTTTGAATCAGAGCCAGTACTGCTGTGTGACTTTACACTTTTGTTTTATTGTTTTATCTTCTTGTCGTTCTTTATTGTTCGAGACGTGCGTAATACTTATATATCGCAATTATTCAAGCACTCCTCGGCGCTAACTTTCACTTCGTTTCACTAGCATTCGCTTGAGACTAATATAAAGGCTGTCTTCATGTGTAATCTTTAGCGCATGCAAAAAATGGTGTTTCGTTTCTTTTACTAATAATGTTTCATGACAATGCCGTGCTTTTGTAGCAACGGATACGGCTTGTCTAACCTTCAACTATAACAGTACAATATATAGTCCGGAAGCTATGAAAATTCTGTCTTCCTAACGGATTAAATCGAAACGATAGCAGAAAGCAACATAAAAGTGACCTACCATGTGCTGCAGTAGATGTAAGACCTGAAGGTAAGTTTAATTACAGGAAAACGCATGCAAAACAAGCCAATTATGAAGCCATAAGCCAACTCTAGTAGTCAAACCACCAAATGAGACCCTTGCACAAGAAGAAGGGAGACAAAAGATGGGCAACTCAGTGAGCGGCAGATTAAAACAATGTCATGCACAAAGAACTACAACGTTACTTACCCACCATCACATTTCCGCCGAGTTGAGAAATGGAACAAAGGAGAAAAACCTAGGAGACAGTAGGTTTTTTGGACTTTCTGCAAAACTCGCGAAAATAGAACAAAAAATCTGGTGCAAACACTGCGTGTCAAAGTCTGCACTCGACTAGGGTAACGTAAATTCTATTGACAAGACAAAAAGAAAGAAACAGCAAAAAAATCTCGAAAAATTTCACTTAGCTAAGTCGAAAATTGGCTGGCATCGGTTGAAGCGGACGTCCAGCTATCCAGAACCGAAAATTTGCTCGTATGCAAACTCAAAAAGCTCAATTGACTCACCTTCCATCTTACTGTTGCAACCTAAAAGCAAAAAGATTACACAATAGTGGAAAACTCACCTTTCAATGCTGCCGCGGTCAGGTAAACATCTGATCAGCAAAATCGATCCTACGCCGCGGCCAAACCTCGATGCATTAGGGTGTCTGAGGCTCCGTGCCCGCTACAGTGGAGTGAAAGGACTTTAGAAAAGCAAAAAGTAATGAAAAACTTGAAGAGATGCGAATGGGCATCATTTGGCGTGCAGTTTGCGACGACTGGCGCAGAGGCGCGTCAAATTGCAGAATCTGTACGAGTTTACACGCAGGCGCCGCCCACCCCGGCGGCTTTCGTTCCCCCACCCCTACAGGACTGCACCGTAAAATGGGATCATTCTCAACACAAGTAATCAACTAATACGCGAGTGAGACAACACAACGCTCTCGAATATGATGGGCAAAGGAAGCAATGTTAGGCATAGAAAGACAAGAAACCGTCATAACGAATCTGTTGAGCATCAGAGTCTACAAATTAATTTGTGAAAACAGTTGCACGTGGAATGGAATGTACGACTCTCGATGAATCTCGGCATGGTGGTATTATGTTATGTTGTATGTAAGCCGTGACCGAGATTGTGCAGTTGCACGTGGACCACTCACACAATAACTGCTAGACTAATCGTTTCTCAAAGTCAGGAAAAGGATGCTTGCAGGAGACGAGCCCGTTTTGCCGATGTTGACCATAACGACGGGTCCCTAGTGCCCATCTCAATTTGAAGACTTCCTGAGGTGAGAAGTCGTGAGAATAACACTCTGCGCGTCGTGTCTCTCGTGTTGCACCCTTTCATTCTCCATCCTCCATTCTGTTCGTTCCGCGTACCTGTGAAAACCTGAAACTGTGTTTCGGTCCTCCAAGTGACTTTAATCTAAACTCTGTAGCAGCTAAGGCCTCCACAATGGCGGATGAGTGGGCCCTCAGCTGACGAAAGACCGGAATGGTCATCCAAGGGCCAAGCCCCGTCTTGGCTCGAGTTCTTCCCTCTAGGGCGAGCTTGACCAACTGCCAAAGCGGATGAGAAACTGCAAAACTCCATTTTTGCCTTTTACCTCCGATATACTACGGCAAGACCTTTGTTTTGCATTTCGCAACACTACGAACGATACGGAATCATTGCGGTGTCTGTCTCGTTTTTGATCGATATTTTTTCTCGTGTTATTTATTTTGCTTGTGCCAGGTTGTTGAGCTGCTGTAGATATTTTTTTAAGCTAGCGGTCGAGCGCAAAATTGAAATTAGATTGAAATTGAGCCGAGCTTTTTCGGGACATTCAGCACATTGACGACCACGCATATTTTTGATAGTCTGCCTCTTGGGACCAAGAGCTTTGTCAGACAGGTCAGCATTTTTCAAATAAAGTCACGCATAGTGCCATTTACAGTATACCTAAAGCAGCTGTAAAAGGCTGACAAAGAAGTTAGAGGTCATTTCTAGATTCAGAGCAAAAGATAACTCCTAGAATGGGTATATTCCAAAATAGTCGTCATTTTAACAAAGTTTCAAGTCTTTACACAACATGTGTGTCAAGCTTAAGCCCCGTGTGATAGTCATTTGTGTCAAGGTCGTCGATGTGTTAAGGATTAACAGATCTATTGACTTTGGGAGCGGAGAGGGGTGTCTTTACCTTGGCGCAGCGCAATCTGTATTATGGGTGAAGCCTCGGAAGCATTATGTTTGGGAATTAAGGTAGACATGCCACAGGAACGGTAGCAGCAGCAGGAAGCACGGTATTAGCACAGGAACGGGGTAGCTCCAGTGCGCAAGCTTTCTTTCTGTGTAGTTCAGTTTTTGTAATTTCTAATTCGTATAAAAATTGTTATTTTATGTCTTAAAGACAGTGGATCGGCAAAATCCAACAACTCGGGATTTTATCGCGGTAGGTTCTTATCGCCCAAGTATGAAAACAGTGCAATCCGGTTGCACAGCATGCTTTCCCTATCGAGAAAATCGCTCTCAAACTTACACGCGCAGGCCAATCTTACGCGCATCTAGACGAGTTGGCAATATCCTTCTAACCATTGGAGGCTGCGCGCCGCAACGCTATAACCATTGGGTTCCGCACGATTTAGCGTCATCGGCCTTGCTCCACTCGTCCAATTCCAAAGGGAAGAGCATTAAAAAACGCTCATTTTCGCCGTTTTCAAGCTTTTAAAAGTGGATTTTCGGGATCAGCGTATTGAAAAACCCCAGGTAAGCGCAAATTTGACGAGGTTGAGATTTGCCGAGCCACTGCCTTTATGGATAAAGTTAGTATTTTTTGTGTATTTTGTCACGCGCGAGGGCAAGTAGTAGGGCAGGTACATAGCATGTATTAAGCGGGAAGTGCACTAAGTCTCGGGTGAAGCCCAGGTGCTTAGGACCTACTAAGCCGCCACAACAGGTTTGAGTACATATCGTCTGTGCCCGAGAAAAGTTCCCATAGGTAGCATCCACACACACACGTATTGCCTTTCGATTGTTCCAGTCAACTGCGAAGGCGCCATAAGCTCGCTGGAGTTAATGTGCTAAAACGATCGAAAGTCAGCCACGTTGATGGTTCCTATGAGAACCTATTCACAAACCCTATGCATGTTTATGGCCCAGGTACTACCTGCCAAAGCGTACCACTCAAAAGTAATCTATTGAAGTCAAGCTCTTATCTTGGGCATAAGATAAGCAATCTTATAAAGAATGATTTGCGATCAAAGGTTTTGTTGATGTCGTGTTGACTACACTCTCAAGCAGTAAAAACTCTACCTTGTTCTGTTCCATTGAATTAAGGGTTTCTGAGTCTAACCTGGAAACTTTCCTTACAACCTCATAGAACGGCCATAGGTTGTCGGTGTTGTTGGTGTTGTCGATGTTGTCGGGGTTGTTGGGGTCAGGGACAGTTTAAAGAGCACACGAAACGTGGAGGCTACCATGAGGTCCTACAACGACCGGCAACTTCGGCAACCCCGACAGTACCGACAACCCCGACAACACCGACAACATCGACTACACCAAAAACCTATGGCCGTTCCCATAGCCACGACGAAAAAAAGAGCAAGTTTGGTTCACTTTGAATCCTCGCTTACAAAAATCAAATCCAGCCAAAATCAAAATGAAATAGCAATATTCATCACATCTTGCTCTCGCTATGTACATTAGCAACATACAGCATTTCATTAATGACATAAGGTACCATAGTCAGTACTGACACAAAGAGAAATTTCTACAATAGTAGTGAAGAAGGCTATCAAAGAACGTGGTCAAAGATGCTTTGAGCTTCTCGTCAATACCGTAGCCACAAAACGAGACATAAGGAACGGGAAACGTTGAGATAGACGCACAAAAAGGGAGAAATCACATAGGATTGTTGCCACACCGTGTTAGTGAACATAAAGCGTGTGTGAAGAACAAAAAGAGATTAAAAAGAACGGCACACCGGTTCTAATTGTACATGTCCTGCAGTACGATATGCTATAAAACATTAACAGCAGTGACTGTCATAGGGAACGGCCATAGGTTGTCGGTGTTGTCGATGTTGTCGGTGTTGTCGGTGTTGTCGATGTTGTCGGTGTTGTCGGTGTTGTCGATGTTGTCGGTGTTGTCGGTGTTGTCGGGTTTGCCGAGGTTGCCGGTCGTTGTAGGGCCTCATGATAGCCTCCACGTTTCGCGCGCTCTCTAAACTGTCTCTGACCCCGACAACTCCGACAACACCGACAACACCGACAACATCCACAACACCGACAACACCGACAACACCGACAACACCGACAACACCGACAACATCGACAACACCGACAACATCGACAACACCGACAACATCGACGACACCGACAATACCGACAACACCGACAACCTATGGCCGTTCCCATAGAAGATACCTTTTGATTTAATAAAGAGGATTTGAAAAAGTGTGACTGCGCCCCTACTGCAGCCGGCTAGGAAAAATGAAGAACAATGCCTTGAGCGATGAGAACGAGAACTAACGTGCAGCTAACAAGTGTCACAACCACAGTGAATATCGCCAGATAGGGCGAGACCGAAATAACAGCGCATAGGCACATCGAAATTGCAGAAAGTCAAACTGATACGCACTAAGTGAGTACCACAGTACACGCAGTAAATTTTCAAAAGGAAAACAAGTACTTGGCAACTTGATCACTATTGAACACTAATTTCAAACATTTACGTGTATTCAGCGTTTCTGGTGACGCCATTGGGTGTTGAAATGGTGAAATCATCGACGAGGTTTGTGGCTGAGTTTGACGAGAGATCAAGGTTGGCAAGCGATGCAGATGGCCGATGAAGTAGTACCTGAACTTGACGTAAACTGATGTTTACATCACGGAACAACTGCATCTGTAAAAATGTTGGTCATGGCCTCTTCAAAAAATAGGATGAAATCAACACAAGTCATATCTTGCGTACCTGGAATATCCCGATGATGGTCGTCAAGAAACCTATCACGTTACCTAGGATATCTGAAGCACCAAGACAAGCAGCAGTTAATTTATGCGCATCTCATGGGGCCCTATGAACAGAAGCTACAAGCATAATCAACACTAACGTTGTCCAATTTTTAAAAGCATAGCAGCAGAGGCTCAGAAATTAAAATACTTCATGGATCTCATGCTAAGCATACAATTTTCCGCTGAGAACTTTTCTATATCAGCAAAATTCAAACAAAAAATCAAGAAACTGCAAAGATACCGTGACATTTATATAGACAAAGTCAGCGAATTAAAGGCATAGATAAAGGTTTTTATTGCATTTTCACAGACTACGGTCACTAGAACGTCCTGCACTCTCAGAATTGAAGAGCGCTGTTAAAACTGTTATCTCTAATTATGTGTTTATACACTTTGATATCAGTTCGCATACCGAAAATGAAAGAAAAAGTGGACGTACATAAAGCAAACAAAGGGATAAAAAATGATGACATCGACAATGTGCCTGCACTGCTTTCTCTGTTTACTTTGAGGAGATTCCGTGTCAGTAAACAGAACTGTCGCGGCTTCGCGATGCGAGCGCTCCTAGAAGTAGGAGGCCGGGAGCACTGGTTGCTGCCGCGCTACACGTCGACGGTAACGGCACTTTCTTGTTCGCCGCAATCGCCGCTGGAGCTCTCCTCGCCTTGACGCGTTGCCAGCCAAAAGGCTATAAATAGCGGCAGCGCCTCATTGCAGCGTCTGTTCGCTTTCGTTTTCGATCGATAATCTTTTCATATGTTTTCCATTGTGCTCGTGCTGGCACTTAGCTCCCGCCTTTGATTTTTTCTTTTTAGCGGTAGAGCGGATCGGAAGTTCTACTAATCTGGAATTCGAGCTTGATTTGGGAATCTTTCTGAACGCGCCATTTTTCTGGAGTTCTTGAGATTTGGGACATTTACATATTATAAACCTTTGGGAGCGGAGAGGCTGTCGCGCCTGGTATCCGGCGACGCGTGGCGGATCTGTATAGGTGAAGCCTCGGGAGCATATTTCTTGTTTGTGTTTATAGTCGTGCGCATCGGTAGCACGGGATGGGGCAACTCGTCCCGTGTTGAGCTTAATGTTGTTTAGTATTTTAGTTTCGACTTTAGTAGTTTTCTCCGTAGTTTAGTTGTAAGTTTTTCTGTAGCTTTTTATTGTCCTTTGATGTCATAAGGACAAATGCCTTAGTATTTAATTCTTTGTCTTTACGCGCAGTGGGCAAGTAGTAGGGTAGGTTGCGTCGTATGTACTAAGCGGGCGAGCGTGCGGGTGTCTCGGGTAAGTCTAGGTGCTTAGGGCCCACCGAGCCGCCACATGGTGCATCGTCGCCGAGCGCATGGTGGATGCGGTTTTTCCGTCCGCGTGTAGGGTTGGGTAGCCGCGTTGCTAAGCCGCGTTGGGTAGGTAACATCACAGCAGGTTTTCGCGCATTAGTAGCGCAGTTTCTGGCTATCCCATTCCATGCGTGCGTAACGATCCCGTTGTCTACCACGCCCCGCACCTAGTTTAAGTCCAGGCAAGCAGTGGATAGGGCATGCGTTCAGGCGCGTCATTCAGGTGTCAGGTAACCCATTAGTTCTGCAGCCTTAAGCGTAGGCAGCGCGTGGGGTGACCTAGCAGTAGTTGGTGGCAGCAGCTTACAGCTATAAGCCCCTGGTACCAGCGCGCTGTCTTGCGCAAGGGCGGGTATGACAGTGGACCAGGTCTATCTGCGAGTGCGAGGTGGAGTCGTTGTGGAAGACCTTACGCTACTGGAGCACACGCTACTGGGGCATCACCGCTGGGAGAGGTAACTGTTGCAACGTTCGCCATGTCGTTCTTTCAGGTAGCCCTAACGAAGCTGTTTGCATTGCTTTTGCGTTATTCGCGCATTGCTACGGCATGCGATTCTGCCCTCGTTTGACAACCCTATTTTGCTCCTTACCTTTGCGCCTACTACGTGCCCCTAGCGTGTTCATTGGTAGTGTCCCTCTTTAGGGTTTTTAGGTTAGGTTCTTGCTCGTATATGTATTTACTCGTTTCATGTACTCGTCGTGTGCAGGTATATTGCCGTCGCTCCTGCCTCTCACATTCCAGATATGTCGCTCCTTGGACACCATAAGACCCAGCTCACCAAAGCAGTCAATCTGCTACGCAAGAAGATCGCGGAAGCCGAACAGACCAACTGGGAAAGCAACGTCACCCTTACCTTTAACACAGGCAAGGATTACGAGTTTGTCATCAATCGTAGGCGTTTGCTTTCGAATTTTATTTCTTCCATCAAGTGTGCTGCTTCCTATCTACGCACTCAGCGGGATGAAGCTGAGGAGTTTGCTCGTCAGAAACCGGACGAGCAGGGGGAGTTTCCCCTCCTCTTGGAGATCCACGCGCACTGGGACTGCCAGTGAATTGACGGGTCTCTTGGAGAAGGCGGACATTCTCCTTGAACGTTTGAATAATGAGATCAAACTCCTTCCGAATGCGGATGTGCTTTATGAGCGTTGCCTTTCCTCGATTGCTTCCACTCAGACTGTCCCTAACCCCGCATCGTCCCCTTCTTCTTCTGATACTGCTCAACCCCTAGTACCCGCTCAACTCGCGCAGGCTTTTCCCTTTCAGGATCGTCCATCGGATCCTTCTTCAGTCGCGCCAGTTGACCATGACCCTCTCGCGAGTGACGCAGGGGACCCTCAGCAGGGAGACCAGTGTCCGCGAGTCCCTTCTGGATTCGGAAATCCCAAATCGACCCGTCCTCCTGCTCCGACGAGCATGCATCCTCTTGGATCCCAAACCCCTTCGCCAAATTTATTTCAAACCCCTCCCCCCCACTTGCATCGACGAGCGTTCCATCTTCATTTACCTCGTATAGCTTACCCTCATTCGAGATACCACTCTTTTCTGGCGATATCGACGCGTTTCCTGAGTTTTTGGAACATCTTTGCTGCTTCTGTGCATAATAACAACAGCGTACCGGTAGCTGTCAAGTTCATGTACCTGAAGACGCACTTAAGAGGAGACGCAGCAAACATCATCGCAAATTTCCAGCCTACTGAAGAGAATTACGAGGACGCAGTACGCACGATCCAAAGCACCTACAATCGACCGGAACATCTGCGAATGCGTCTTTGGGACAAGCTCAACAAGCAAGCGCCCGCAAAGGAGTCTGCGGCTTCACAGCGCGCTACGCTTGGTTCCATCAGAGCTATTTGGTCCCAGATGAAGCGCTTGAAGGAAGAATCGTCGATAGGTGCACTGAATACGATTCGATCGAAATTCCCCCGACGTACACGTGAGAAGGTTGGCGAGATGAAGAATAAGGAAGACCAGATGTGGACGGTAGACGAGCTACTGACAGCATTTGACACGGTTATTGACAGGCTGCAGTTAGTCGAAGACGCCGATCCCACACCTTATGCCATCTACAACGCCGATTTACAGTCCGTCAAGCTTCTTCTTCCCCGCATAGGTACACCAGCGATAGTCCGACGCGAAGTAGGCTGCAGTATCAGTCATCAGTCTGCCCCAGATGTTCGCGCAGCTTCGCTCACCATCTCAGTACCGGTCGACTAGAACCAGGACACCATCCCCGTACTACCCGCAACGTGCGTCTCGCACTCCAGCACAAGCGCAGTATGTTGCAGATCAGGATGATTGTTGCATCTTCTGTTTAGTAGAAGGACACCAACCGCAGGATTGTATGGAAGTTCCCGGTCCTAGGCAGCGCAGAGCCATCGTTGGCCAAGAACAACTCTGTTGGTTATGCTTAGGTTATGGACATCTTGCGAAGGTTTGCTCAGCACCCATGTGCCTATACTGTGGTAAGGCTCACCATCTAGCATTGTGCTTGAACTCACCACGAGCGCGTAGTTCGCTTCTTCCACCAACACGTTTCCATCGACGACCTTTTTCGCCTAAGCGCGTGCAGTTTGCGGAAACTCAGACTTCTCCAGACCACGCACAGCACAGGTCGCGCTCTTCTTGAGCACCTGCTAGGAACCGCCCCTTTTTTCTTCTATATTTTTTACGGTTTCCTTTACTTTTCTGTTATTTTTGTCTTTTTTCTGCTGTTTTGCATACCTAGGTTCCCACGCACGGCGTTTTTCTCCTGTCTGTGTAGCAATGTCGCACGAGAATGCTAGTTCCGTACCATCTGAACTGACAACTTACTATGAGCGATCGTGACGCACCTGTAGAGGACAGTGTAGGTAAGAGTAAGTAAAAGTTTGGTTTCTTCCATCTATTTTTTGTGATTTTTACTTTTCTTCTTTGCATTTGTCCCTTTGTTTTACAGATATCATAACGCTCATCTGATTTTGCCGCGCTCAACCTGGCTTTTGACCGTAGCTGCACCTTTTGAATATCGTAGCCAGCCTTTGTGGCACGCCTTTCATTCGTTTTTTCTAAACGTAGGAACATCGCTAGCGCGTCGCGCACATATCCTAAAACTGCCCATGTGGTCGCGGGAGGCTGGACTACGTCCACTTTTGCGTTTCTTGTGTAAAATAATTGTTTTGCCACAGTAACATCGGCGTAAAAAGGTTGCAGCATGCTAAGCCCCAGACCATCGGGAAGGGAAACTATCCCTTGTGCTCTTGACTGTAGTCATTCCGCGTTCGTGCGCGCCTTAACTTTCGTTCAGAGGATAAGGTGATAGAATGTGAAAGGGTTAGTAGCTGTGATTGCAGAATATCGCTATATGGACACTGAACAGTAAGCATTGTTCCCTATATCATATTTTGGCCTCGTAAAGTTTATGTGTTACAGTACTACTGCAATGTGGTAGCACGTTTGGCCCGTTGAATCAACTCTGTTTGCCGTCTACTTCAACAACGCTGGTCCTCGTCAGTTACGAGCAGCAGGCAGCATACTACCCAGACACAATCCAATTATGATTACTTGATTTTGTGAAATTCTTGTATTGTTCGTTGGATGCGTTTCGTGCGCTTTTGAAGTATGTTTGTTAATGGGCACGGGACGGGTTATCTTCAACCCATTACTTTCGTCGCGCTCTTACTGTGCTACCGATGGATAGTTTTCAACACTTCTTTTTTTCTATCACCCAAAAAATTTCGGCTAAAGGCATTAACCGCAGCCCGGTGCTATCACGTAACCACCTCTCGAACGCCCAAGCCCACTGC